ACACCAGTGTTGCAAAAATCCTGCTTAGGCACCGATTAATCGGTGCTAGGCGCTGGCCAGCCGCCTAACGTATCACCTTAATCAGTGGTCTAGGTGGCTGGCTAGTTAGGTGGCCGACTAAGCCACCTAAGCACCGCCTAAGCGCTGCCTAGGCGCTAACCGCCTAGGCCTCTTAGGGACCGACTAGGTCGCCTAGTCGGCCGATTAGCTATTGTACTCTTGTTTTTAAATTGAGTTATTTAACTCAAAACGACATCGTTCTGAGCGAAATAACATTAAATTGTTCAAACTCTAATATTTTTAGGTTAATATTTAATATTTTAGTATTAACTATTAAAGTATTAAATAGTTTATAATTATCATGTCTTAAAAAATTAAATAAATTTTTAAAGAATAAAATTAAAAAAAAAAAAAATACACAGGCGCCTAGGCGCGCCGATTAATTGCCGCCTAGGCACCCCCGAACGCCCGAGGAGCACCTAACGATTTTTTCAACCATGATACACACACAATAACAATATTAGTAAAAACACACACAAAAATTTTCACAAGTAATAAATTGTGAATTGAACCAACGGTCCAAAAACGCCTAACGTACAAACCTTAAAAGATTCTTGTCCAAGCTATATATATAATAAGATTGTGTGTCTAGACAGGCATATATGGAGAAGCAAAGATAGTTAGAGAAATGGGTTTTAACCTAACCTCTATATAGAGGGATAAGGAGATAGGAAGCATATGAGATATAGATAGAGAGTAACAAGAAACCCAAAATGTTTCTTTTTCTGCATTTGCACCTGCACCTACATACAGTACTGCAACTCTTTCATTCATTATTCATATATATTGCGTGTAATGGAAGAGGAGAAGATGAAGATAGGTGCGGGAGCAAATGCAGATGAATATCACTTTGGATAAATTTCAGACTTCCACTTTAAATTAAATCACTGTTCATCTTCCTCAAAACTCACCAGACAACACATCCGGTACGTACAAGCTAAGGATGTCAGTAGTTTTGTCTTCATTTCTGTTTGTCTATGTGTTAGTAATTATTGTTTGATAAAATTAATGATGTTTTTTTTCCCTGTAAATTATACATAGCCACATACCAAGCTAGTTTGAAGTGTGGATGCATAAGCCTGCCTGCAGGTTGATTTTCAGGATTTACTTTCCATTCAGTCAATAAGTTACAACGGTTGGATTCATGGGTTTTGAACTCTACTATCATATTTAAATTTAATTACGTTGTTTGATTTATTATTTTTTGTCTATTGAAACGAGATTCAAATTATGAACTATGAATGAATAAAAAAAAAATCATTCTATTATGAAATTCTACTTTTATTTGTTGACATGAATAGTGGCAAAATCAAGATTCCAAGAAAGGAAGATGAGATTCCATTAAGATCAGGTCAATGCATGGTGGCAAATTAGGCTGTGCAACCGGTTGCACCATGCATGGTGCACACAGAATGGATTCATAATTTCTATACTATAGATCCATAATTTCTATACTATAGATTCATAATTATTGAATTCTATATTTACAATTACAAAACTCTATGTTCATAATTTTCAATGTTCATATTCCCAATTATTGAACTCTATATTCACAAATCACTGAACTATATGTTCATAATTTGATAACTATACAATATAGAAATTATGAATATATAGTATAGAAATTACGAATGTATAGTATAAAAATTATGAATTTATAGTATCGAAGTTATGAATCTATAGTATAGAAATTATGGATCTATAGTATAAAAATTATGAATCCAATTCCGTGTGTACCTTGTATGGTGCACACGGTTGCACAACATAACGCTCCGTCAATGGCACGTTAACGTTTTTAAGTTTTATTAACTCTATATATAAATCTTAAAAAATATTCAATCTAACTTTTTTTTTTTTTTACTTAAATGGTTAAATTGGATAAGAAAAAATATATTTTGTACTGAAAAATGAAAATTATATAATATTACTTTATACCACAAATTTATATATAAGTTTGTTTATTCTGTTTATTAAAAGAACCATAATTGTTGCCATAGTGGCTTGTGGGTTTTTTTTTTTTTTTTTTTTTTTTTTTTTTTTGCAAGTGGTTTTGTTTGTTTGTTTTTTTTTTTTTTTTGATTTTTTTTTTTTGGAAGTAGTATTTGAAAGCTACACATAATTAGAGAGAACATTTCTTTACACTAAATTTTTATTATAATATCACACAAACAAAAGTTATTTATTGTAGATTTAAAATACATACAACCTGGTGGTGTGATTGAGTAAAAAAGACTCATCCATCTTTTACCAAATGTCCAAATGTCAATGGATTGTTTTTTTTTTTTTTTTTTTTTTTTTTTTTTTTTTTAATTATATACACCTATAAAAATAGAATAAAAAAAAATGAAAGAATGAATTAATTTTAAATTATATAATATAAGTTAAGGGATTTAATTTGTCGAAACAAGTTTTACTTAGATAATACTCCGTACCAATTATGACTTTCTATTAAAAAAAAAAATACTATTTTTACATATGATAATTTACGGGAAAATAACACTTTTGGCCCTAAATTATTTTACTTATTGAAATTAGGTCCCTGTTAATTGATTTAAAAAGGTTTAATCCCTTAATTGTACATTATATATGTTACACTTTCAGTCTGTGGTCTTATATAATTATCAAACTCTGTTAGCAAATCTTTTTATGAGGTTATTATTTTTGTCATTAAAGAATCAATATCCATGGTTAAAGTTTTATTCTCTTCATGTGAACGCCATTTTTTTTTATAACCATGAATATTGCTTTTAATTAAATGATAAAAATAAAATCATATATTAATGGTATTTAACAATTATATAACACTAGGGACCAAAAGTGCAATATTATGAACAATTAAGGGGTTAAATTTGGTTAAATTAATTTATATTGACTAAATATTCAAAAATAAAATAATTCAAAACCCCAAAAGTGTGATTTTTCCATATTTTATCATGAGTAAATTTCAATTTTGATCATGTGACTAGCTATTGGGGTCTTGTTAATTGCAGCCTACGACTTTTAAAACTGTTAATTTAGTACCTTGACTATGCAATTTTCTATCACTTTTGGTCACTCCGGTCAAATTGCGGGCTAAATTTTGCCAAAAAAAAAAAAAAAAAAAAAAAAAAAAAAACTTAATTAACCAATCATTATTTAATCTGAGGGGTAAATTCGTCTTTTTCATACGAATTGTTACCATTTCAAATAAAAGATCACACATTCAAATTTCATACCAATTCAAGGGCCCACATATAATTTACGCAATAATTAATGTGTGGACCGTGGTCCACCCAATCGCTTCGCTTAATATTTTTTCTCACGCGACCCATTGCAACATATATTTTTATAACTCATAATGTATATTATATTCTAACACATAAAATACATTATTCTAACTAATAAAATTCAACAACGTCATTTTGGACCGTGAGTCCGTGATGCACACAACTGTAATAATTTGCCTAGTTTACGCATCATGCATATAACTGTAATAATTTGCCTAAACCGTGATGAGTCCGTGATCCACAAACAATATAGTTTAATCTATCAGCCTCAGAAATCGACACCATATATATAGTGTACGAAGTGGGCTTATAAGGAGTACATGATACAGTCATACAGACGGAGTACATGGCGATATAGTGGATACATCAGATTTAATTTTTTTTAAAAAAAAAATTATTCCATCGCCAAGCTAATGACAATACTACATAATCATTTTTATTTAATAAGTATATATATAATCAAACAAAATTACCGACAGCAGATCGATAGGTGTTTCCGGGCTGCCAACCGGCGGGAATGACGTTGTTGGCGACGAGAGTCTTGCCGGAGTCGTCGGTGAGTTTGAGGGAGAATGGTGCTTTTAGTCCAAAGGCGTCGTCAAGCTTCCACACTGCACCCCAAGACTCTTGCATGGGAAGCCATGAATCCGAGTCCAAAGCTTGCTTCAGCTCTGCGCTACTCACCACTCCTTCGCCTCCTTCGTATTCGATCAGAGTTGCAAAATAGTTGGGGTTGGAACCAGAATCCACGTGAAACGTCAGTGATACTCCTGGATACTTGCATTCAACTCTGAAAATATTGAGTGGTTAATCACGTCATTTTTAATATCATTTAAATATATTTATTGTTGGATGTCCAAAAATAGTCATATATGCTAGGACCAACATGAATGTTTTGAAGAAAAAAAAAAGACATAAATAAATCTAGGACCAAATAAGTAAAATGACAACACTTAGAACTGAATAATAAAAGATGTCCTTGTATTTAATGTCATTTAAATTGTTTTAGAGGTTTAAAAAAAATTAAAAATGAAATTATTGAAGTCTTTTTTTTTTAAACATGCTTATTTGGTACTAGTATTATTGTAGCATGACAAATTTTGGTCCTCTATCAGCAAAACAATTTAAATGTTGTTAAATACAAGGGCATTTCGGATTTTAATTATGAATTTTTTTTAAAAGATAAACATAAAAATTATAACGGGTCAACACAATTTGTATTAAAAAGATAGAAATGTCCTTGTATTTAATGGCATTTCAACGATTTTGTTAATGAAGGACAAAATATAGTCATGTCACAATAATATATACTAAAATCAAAAGATGATATTATGATAAAAAATGACTAAAATGGACTGTCATTTATAAATATAGGACAAAAGATGGAATTAAGTCTTCAATAAACTACCTTCTATATTGAATGTTAAGCACTCCGTCATCACGGAGCTGGTTGGCTTTGCCGGAAACTGCCATGGCACCAAAAGAAGTGCCACTCATATCAAAATGAGTTGATTCTGATACACATCCCGGACACTCATCGGTTATAACCACGGTCACCGGATTTCCCGAGCATGCTGCATTTTCAGTGCACTTTACCTGCAAAACCCAAAGAGAATGATATATATGATTAATACTTTCAATCAAATTAAATTCATGCAATCTCTCCAATTACTAGAATCTTAAAGAAACTCAGTAAATTATAATTAGGGTTAAAAAAAAAAAAAAGAATGAAGGAATTGGTTGACCTCATAACAAGCTCCACATCCTTTGCCAGATTTGAAAAGAGAAGGACCACCAGCTGTTACTAAGGAAGAGAATGGTGGCTGCTCTACACTACTTGTGTATCCACAAGCTCCGCCTATATTCACACAATGAAATTTGTTAGGATGAATCAGTGCTTCTCACTATACCAAAAGTTATCGCTAGTAGTGAAGGCGCAACTTTATTTCCTTATATCGTCACACATTTTCAAGAGCCGGACTTGGCCCTTTATCGACCTCCACCCAACAATTCTCTAATCACATAATGTTGGTCTTGGCTCTTATCAATCTTTGCCCAAAAATTCCCTCCCAACACCCGCTTGCCCGGCCTCCATGCATGCCCTGACTTTGCTACCACTTGTTAGGATTAAACACTTACCACTCCACCCAACAATCCCTTAGTCACATGGTGTTGATTTTCGCCCTTACCAGCCCCACCCAACAAAATTAATTTGGTTTTCGTGACATTCTTAACTAAACTGTAAACATAACATGGCATATATATTGAGAGATGGCCGGTATCTTAATTAATTTTTTTGGGAACCAGCAAACTAACACTGTCCATGCAATTTTACACACATACACACACATATATGTGTATGGGTGTGTACGCGGGCTATAGTTATTGGGTGTGTTTGGTAAATAGTTGTTAGCTGATTGGGTTAGTAAGTTTTACTAGTTAATAGCATTAGCTGATTGTTGAAAGATGTTTGGTAAATTAGCAGTTAGCTAATAGCTGATTACATACAAAATGACTTTCTCAAAAAACTGCTTTGAGCAACTTTTTAAATTTGAATGTTTTGGAGTAATAAACTGTTACAAAAATCTATTTAATCAAACACTCATATTGGTTGTTTAATCAAGTCAAACAACTAAAATTGACTAATAGACTAACTATTTTACCAAATAGCTAGGGTCATACTAGCAGCTTTTACGTACCATCACTTCCGGCACCATTGGAGTTTCCATACCATGTGGCGCCGGCAAGGGACCAGTCGGAATCCAATTGGGATTTGGAGACGTTGAGGTTCTTGGGGTTGAAGCAAGAGCAAGAAATGGCAAAAGTAGAAAAAAGAAGAAAATAGGTAATGAAATGAGGCATGCCTGATATCGATTAGTTTTACTTGCAAAACTACTAAATCACGTACTATATAATATAAATATATATGCCTGTGATTTGAATGAAGTTGGTCTTGATGGATGAAAATACATGCATGTAGTATGTGCTTTTTATAGAGCAATAATGAGGGCTATATTTGTCATTGCACAACAATTCTTTGAATTTTATCTTCTACAAAGGCCATGTGAGAATTTTTTGGCTTTAATTAAGTGAGTGTTTAATTTGGAGCAATCACACCTTAATTAATGCAGTTTATCACATGGGTGGCATCTTATTTTAATTTATCTAATTCAATAATAAAAGGGAAAATGACACTTTTTCTCCCTGTGTAATATGCTTATAGCACTTTTTCCCCTGAGTTATTCATGCATTCACATTTGCCCCCTCAATTATTAAAGAAGTGGCAGTATTTCCCCCTGATAATATTAAATGGACATTTTTACCCTTAAAACAAATATTTTATTTATTTCTCTTCTTCACCAAATTATTGCTTATACGTAGGGATGACCACGATTCGGTTCGAACTGAACAAAACTCTATAGCAATCAAATTAAAAAATTTCCGTTATGATTCATAACATAACCCAATATTTGGGTTTCCGTTTATTAAAATCATGAACTGGAAAAAAATGGATCCTGAACCGTGAACCGGAGGTTCAAATCGGAACAACTACTAGCAATAGCTTAAATTAGAATTATAATATTTGCAAATAGTGTATTTTTTTCCGCATTTATATTGACTCTCACATATAAGTATATATAATCGCGATTTGAGTTTTATTTTGAACCGTCGGTTCACGATTTTGGATCCAATTTGAACGATTGGTTCAAATTTTCATTTAAAATTTTATTTTTTTATTTTTAAAATATTCTAAATTTAACACTTAATGTATTTTATTTTTTCAAATCGTGGTTATAATTTGTTGGAGAAGAAAAATAAATGAAATATTTATTTTAAGGGTAAATATGTCCATTTAATATATCAGAGGGAAAAACTGCCACTTAAATAATTTAGGGGGAAAAAGTGCTATAAGTATATAACAAAGTGGGAAAAAGTGTCGTTTTCCCATAATAAAATAACTTGATCAAAATCTAAATGGTCGTAGCAATTAAGTATTTTTGAGTACTACGATCTATTGAAGCACAAAACGTGAATGTCCCAACTGAGTGCGAACATGTGATCTCTCATTTGGGAGTGTCACGAAAGTGTCATTGAACTATAAGCTACTTGGCAACAATTAAGTATTATTTGAACTAAACCCTAAAACTAAATTAGTGTATAAACCTGGGGGTATGGATGAGTGGAAGGGGCTCATCCATCCTTAATCATATCAAAGGTCAAGGTCCGATCCTTGACTTTGGATATGGAGCAGTTTTAAATCTCCAAATAAGTTGATTCAAAAGAGTTACCTATAATTCAGCCAGAAGATTAGTTACTGTATTCGATAGTGGAAACGGTGAGACACACCAAAAAATAGTGAGTATTCCTCAATCAACTTTCAACAGTACAGTAGAGAATGTTGCAAGTTAAAAAGAAAGATTTACTTGAATAAGTTGCCGCAAAATAAGGACATTAATTATGATATTAACTGGTTTGGCATGCATGTTAAATAATGAAAACTCTGTAGCCTGCCGCTTGTACTACTGTTACCCTTTCATTAGGATATTGACTGGTTCAGTGCTAAATTACGACAAGGCTTTGTCTTGTTTCTTAAAGGTTAAACCCCTGCAACGCGAAGGTCGTCTTTACTTTTCGATCTGCGGCCTCTAGGCCTTTGTCCCAATGAGTACAGTGCATCAGGTCCCAATTATATCGTGCACCAGGAGCGCACAATGCATTGTGCGTACTAACCAAAACGACATCGTCTTGTATTTTTTTTTTTTAGAAATTTCGCTTTTCGTTTTTATCGTTAACTTCTAAAAAAAAATTTCTATTTCGAATGTACAGAATTGTATAGTAAAATACACATAAATTCATAACATAATACACATAATCTAACATAATACATAATACACATAAACTCTTAACGTAATACACATAAACTCTTAACAGAATACACATAAACTCTTAACATAATACACATAAATTCTTAACATAATACAATAAACTCTTAATATAATACACATAAATTTTTAACATAATACACATAAAAAATGTTAACATAAAAAATGATGTTGTTTTGGGCAGGGCGCACAATGCATTGTGCGCCCTGGTGCACGATATAACGACTTCAGGATGACTAAAAACTCAATTAGTGATTTGAATTTTCAATAAGAATTAAACTCTTACTTTGTATTCTTTCCATCTCATTTTGTGTTGGTTTAATTTGACTAACGATGCTTATATGTAATTATTTTTAATTTAATTGTTTATGATACTAAGTTTAGTATTAGTATATAAAATTTATATATTTAGAAACTACATAAAAATATTCTTACACACAACAAATTAAATTTTAAAATAAGTATAAAAAATATTAAAGAAAATAAGTATAGAAGAAAGAGTTTGTTTAACCAATGAATAGTAAAAACCACATGTGAAATGAGATAGATTGAGTAGTTGTTAATCCCTTTGAGACTTAATTACCTCAATTTGACTTTTACATTGCACCATTGAACTATATATAACCTAGGGGCAGGTTTTGTCTTATTTCTTTGGTCGGAGAAAAATAGTTTTTTTTTTTTTTTTTTTTTGGAACGAAAAATGTTTTTTCAACATGCTATTTAATATATATTAGAATTTTTTTATGATAATCTTAATCCTTATGTAATAAGGAAATAGCTTTTTTTTTTTTTTTTTTTGAGAAAAGGGTCAAATAGACCCCTAAACATTACCCTAAAGGTCAATTAGCCCCCTAAACTTTATAAAAGGTCAATTAAACACTCAAACATGCTAAATTTGGTCAATGAAGCCCAAAAACTGGTAAATGACCTGTTTTTACCAGTCATTTTAATTCCGGCGACGAAATCCGGCCACCGGCGAATTTTTCCGGCGGCCGGCGAATTAATTTTCCGGCCGTCCGGTCGTCTTCCACCGGAGAAGACGACCGGACGGCCGCCTTCTCCAGCCTTCTCCAATGGAGAAGGCGGCAGGCGACCGTCTGCCGCCTTCTCCAGTGGAGAAGACGACCAGATCTGGTCGTCTTCTCCAATGGAGAAGACGTCCGTCTGGTCGTCTTCTCCATTGGAGAAGATGACCAGATCTGGTCATCTTCTCCAATGGAGAAGACGACCAGATCTGGTCGTCTTCTCCACTGGAGAAGGCGGCAGACGGCCGCCTGCCGCCTTCTCCATTGGAGAAGGCAGCCGTCCGGTCGTCTTCTCCGGTGGAAGACGACCGGACGGCCAGAAAATTAATTCGTCGGCCGCCGGAAAAATTCGCCGGTGGCCGGAATTCGTCACCGGTGGCCGGATTTCGTCGCCGGAATTAAAATGACCGGTAAAAACAGGTCATTTACCGATTTTTGGGCTTCATTGACCAAATTTAGCATGTTTGAGTGTTTAATTGACATTTTTTAAAGTTTAGGGGGCTAATTGACCTTTAGGGTAATGTTTAGGGGTCTATTTGACCCTTTTCTCTTTTTTTTTTTTTTTTTTTTTTTTTTTAAGTACTATTGACTTTGTTACAATGTAGTATCTGTTCATAACTATTTTCTTAACTTACTGAAGCACAAATAAGGGTCAATACCGCCACTACTGGAAATTATGAAATTTCCGACCACCTGAAAATGATCTTAAATCAAGTCGAAAGTCTTATTCCGACCACTTTTGGTATACGGAAAAACCTTTGTTGCTATTTCCGACCACTTTTTACTTTCGACTTGATATAAGATCACTTTTAGGTGGTCGAAAATTTCATAATTTCCAGTAGTGCGCCCAACTTTTAGGCCTAGAGTTTCCAAGGGGGTGCTTTAGTCTTTAAATTCCTTTGAAGTTATGCTTTTAGTCCTTGGGCCAGGAATCATGCATGGTTTTATGCTAGAGATAAGGTAATATGTTAAATACTTGAAATGTGATAATAAGAAAGTAAATCTTTGGTTAAAATATGTTGATTGTACAATTTTGATTTATATTTGGGTTAAAATTAAAGCACCACTTTGAAAAATAATTCATAGCTAGACACAATTGATGTGACTTAAGGATCAGATTGAATTAAGGGGGGTGTATTCAATCATGACTTTAATAGAATTTTAAAGACTTTTATGAATTTTAAAAGTTTGGAAGTATTCAATTCAAACTTTTAGAGAGTCTTTAAAAGTCAAGCAGTATTCAATCAAGATTTTTAAAGAGTCTTTAAAAATCGTGTGGTATTCGATTAAGACTTATAGAGAGTCTTTAAAAGTCATGTGGTATTCAACAAGTTAAAAACTTTTGTAGACTTTTTAATTTTAGGACTTTTGTAGGCTTTTCCTGCTCAAATATCAATAGTCGAAATCCAACCATCAACCCCAAGATTTCAAAATTTTCTTTCTAACAACTTTGAATGTTTTCTCTCTCTCTCTCTATTTAAACTCTATTCTTTCCCCTATTTAAACTTTATAAACCTATCTAAATTTAATAAAATTATTTTTTTCTTATATTATTGCTTTTTTTTTTTGAAAGCTGCTGGGCTCTATTACATTGTAGTATCTATTCATATACTTTCTCAACCTACTGAAACACAAAGAACCAATAACGCCTCCACTGAGGCTTGAACTCATAATCTTCCAAATGGAAGTCCAACCCGGATACCATTAGACCACATTGCTTGTTTATATTGATTTTTATTATTTTCTATGAATTTTTTATCCCTAACTTTCTCTAATTCTCCCTAAATACATGAACAAAGTAAATTTTTCATCGTCAAATTTTAGTATATGTGTCATAATATTCACATAAATACTTATATATTTTGATTTTTATTCTTTTTATGTTTATATTCGTAATATATATTTTTCCATTTTTTTAACAGCAGGTTACTACGAATAGCGAAATATTGTTCGCAACAACAATTTGGAGTTGCAAAAGTAGCACTTTGTTGTTGTCTCAAATTGCTATTGCAA